ACCGGTATTTAGTCTTCAGAGTAGAGCAGTGGGATAAACTCACAAGAAAAGGGAAATCAGCAAGAGATTTAAAGGGAAATCAAAAATATTTCTTAAAGGTGCCAGAGTGTTCCAGTAACGGGGTCTGCTCACCCAGGGTGGGTCTCAGCGTGGGGAGGGGACAGCCCATGAGGGAGGAGGACACTCGGGGAGGGGACAGTCCATGAGGGAGGAGGGCCCTCGGGGAGGGGACAGCCCATGAGGCAGAGAGGATTCTGCATAGCCCCACCAGCCCGCCCAGTTGTCAAGGTCATTCAGCTGAACCATGTGTGCAGGTGCCGGGTCAAAGCTGTTCCCTGACTTCCACGGGAGAGGGCTCTCTGCGAAGGAGCTTAAGGTTTCTCCCGAAGCTCAGGGCATATCAGGCCAGGCCGGAAGGAGTCATGGCCTTGATTCCTACAGAGGGCATCTTGCAGACCCTTTTCAGACACCACGGTCCCTGGTGTTTTCCGCCGCACAGGAGTCTGGGGAAAGCACCAACTCTTCCAAAGCGAATGCCCCTGCCTGGAGCCCCCGCAGCACTTCACCAGCTCAAACAGCTGACCCCTAGGGGCCACCAAGTGGTGCCCACGTGCCAGCAATGGGCGTGAGGACTCGTGGCCCAGTCATCCTGGATCCCCGCAGCGGCGCACAGCCACATCCCACCCGCTGGCTGCAGCTCCCCAGCAGTAACTCTGACTTCAGACCGGTTACAAGAGGCTGAGCCCTCGGCTGGGCTGTCCAGGAGGGCTGTGTGACTGCTCTGCTCTTCCCACGAACTCCGCTTTTAAACGGGATTTCAAAGTCTCTCACAGCAGAGGGATTGTTCAGATTGTGTGCGAGCCTTGTGCTGGTGGACAGGGAGGTGGGGCACACGTATCCAATGAGGTCAGGCCACCCTAGACGAGGGGACACGTGTGTGAGGGGAAATGACAAAGTCCAAGACCGCCTGTCAGGCCCCACCTGCGCCCAGAGAAGGCCACCTGCACCGAAGCCAGAGCGTGGCCACCCCCAGGGAGGACTGCTGGCAATTGATAAGGAATTGCCAGCTGGGACTTGAAAATTGGGATGCTTTCCAACTGGAATACAGCTTCCTGTATGTCAGAGCTCTAAACTGTCAGATGCTTTCCGTCTGTGCACCCCATGTGATGAGGGCCAGTGTCACTGACCCAGATTCACAGCTGGGGAAACAGAGGCAGAGCGCGGCTGAGTAAAATAACCCACAGGGGACTGACTGATGCCTTCGCCAGCACGTCCATGTGTGTGTGTGTGCGCACATGTGCATGCTCCCACGTGTGTGTCCGTGCAAGTGCTCATGTATCTGTGCCTGTCTGGGTGCATGCCCGTGTGTTTTTATGTTCCTCTGCACGTGTGCACCTGTGTATGTCCGTGTGTCTGTGTGCCCCTGTGTGTGTCCATGTGTCTGTGTGCACCTGTGTGTGCCTGTGTCTGTGTGCACCTGTGTGTGCCTGTGTCTGTGTGCACCTGTGTGTGTCCGTGTGTCTGTGTGCAGCTGTGTGTGCCTGTGCACACTGACGTCGCCACGTGTGTTTCTGCTTCACAGAAACCTGTGATGACCCACCAGCCCTGAAAGGAGAGGTCCGTCTGAACAGGACAGAGCGACAGAGCGGCCCCCGTCCTTCCTTCCTTCCACCTCGGCCCTCATGCCCCCCGATCACCCTGTGCACGGCCCAGTGGGGGGACAAGAAGATACCCTGCCCACGATGCTGGGAGCTGACAGTGGTTCTCAAACCGTCAGCTCTTCACCCACGTCCACAGACGACCTCCACGCCCCCCTTGCCGGCCTGCTCTCATCTGTGAGAAACAGAAACAGCTCAGCTGATATGTCTTCCCTTTAGGGCAAAACAGTTGAAACTTTTTGAAGGACACAGAGCTCTTTTTCAGCGTGACCGTCCGCCCCCTTCACTGCTGGCTGGCTTCTGTTGTGCTTGTGACTAGAACGGGAAGGGCAGGCCCGCACCAGCCACCTGCAGGTCCCCGTCTCCCTTGGAGCGTGTGCAGGTGTGTGTGCTTCTGTGGGAGTGCTGCGGGGCGTCAGGACGAGTGGCTGGGCTCGTGACCAGCTGAGCAAGAGGGAGGGCTAGACCCCACCCCACCACGCACCCCGTCTGCCGGCTCACCTGCGGCGCACAGGCCGGGAGAACTAACCGTAGCCGAGGGCAGAGCGGGCCAGTGGCAGCAGGTGAGCATTTGACCGAAGCCCAGACGCAGGGGCAGAGGACCTGCTGGGAGGCAGCTGATGAGCTCCGGACGGGCAGGCCGAGGCCCAGGGTCCAGCCCTCCTGCAGTGGAGTCCAGTAGAACAAGGACCGGGGCCCATGAGTGATGCCCGCCGGCCACCTGTCATCTGTCTGTGAACGAGCTCCGGGACCCCCTCCACCTCTGACAGCCTGGGACTCGGGTTACGTCTGAGTGTCGTGTGGCTCGTCCAGCTTTAAGGGGAGCCTGCCGGGACCCTCACAGCTGCCTTGCGCGTAGTCAGCACGTCTCCCTCTCCCTGAGCGTGGCTGTCTGTTCCACGGGGACCAGTGCATTTAGTCCTCGGAACAGCCCATTTTGCAGAGGAGAGAACAGAGTGTGAGGCGGCCTCCCCTGGAGCTGGAAGCCACGTTGTGAGCCTCTGCTGCTTCCCCAAGTGACTTTGCGTCTGCTTTAGCTTTTCTCTCTCAAGTGGGGTGTTGTTTGTGTTCAGAGGAAATAGTAACTAAAAGAAAGGGAATAAATGATGCCTAAGAACCTTCCATACCACTTTCTTCCGACCTGGCAGAGGACACAGCTCCACCCATGGTTCAAGTTCAAGCATGGGTTCAAGTTCACACGCACCCAAACTCAAGAGGCCACATGATACCCCGATGAAACACTGATCGGCCAAAGCGGGAGCAAGAGCCCGTGGCCCCCCC